TCCTGCTGACCTCACAGGGTCCTGGGTGAACAAATTCCCAGCAGAAATGACACACAACCACAACTTCCGGCTGAATGAGCGAGAGGTGGTCAAGGTCCCCATGATGCAGACCAAGGGGGCCTTCCTGGCGGCAAGCGACCAGGAGCTGGACTGCGATGTCCTGCGGCTGGAGTACATGGGGGGCATCAGCATGCTGGTGGTGGTCCCGCACAAGCTGTCCGGGATGAAGACCCTCGAGGCCCAGCTGAAGCCCCAGGTGGTGGAGAGATGGCAGAAGAGCATGACAAACAGGTGCCTCTGGGGCCAGGGGACTGAGGGCCCAAGGATGCTGGGGCTGCAGTCACTTTAGGGAAAGGGGCGTGTGGCCCCTGGGCCGCTGTGACTTCAGCCCAAACTTTCCGCTTGGTGAGAGGAGATCAGAGAGCGTTAGTGAGAAATGCACCTGTACTCTGTGATGTGGGGGCAAGAGCGACCCGGCTCTGCCACACACTTGCCCTGACCCCTGGGGTCGCTTGCTGTGGGCCTAGAACCAAGACAAGCCCCCAACCCAGTTTGAGAAGCCTCGAGGTCCTCCAAATCCCCTCAGGGCGTCACTTACCATCTCACAGGACCACAGGTTGCGCTGCTGGATCAGCGCAGGAAGGACGCACACGTCACCTCCCTGTCTTCCTGGATCCCGCCAGGCCCGAGCTAACAGCTCAACCTGGTCTGGGCCTCCTTTCAGGACCAGGATACAAGGAAATGCAACTGAGGGACAGGCAGGCTCTTAGGGGCAGGTCTGCCCAGGCAGCTGGGCAGGCATCAAGCCCTGTCACTTTCTCCTTAAAACCTGTTCTGTACCCGCCTCCTTCCCTCCTTCCTAACCTCACTGCCCACGACCTTCACCCTGAGCCAGCGGGGGCCTGACTAGCCTGCTGTCCCATGCTCCGTCTATCTGCCACCAGCCACCAGGCAGCATCCCCACCTCCCTCTTCCTGTGAACTCTCTGTGGACCCCCACCCACAGGATGCAGCCCGCTCGCTGCCCAGCCTGGCCCACACGCTGCTCTGCTCTCCCCTGCCCTCCTGCCCGGAGTCCTGCACTCCCTCCAGCAGGCCCTGCTCAGGGCCCCCAGATCTTGCCCCCCCTCGTCCAGCATGGCCCAGTGGTTAGGGCTGTTCTTGTCACTCAGACGCTAACAGGCGGTCTTTACGCTTTGCTGCTTCACGTCCTGGGTCCTGGAGCACCAAGAGGGAAGGAAGCTCCTGAGAAGGGGGCGCGTCTGGCATCTTAGCCCCACAAGCGCCATCAAGGATGGAGAACGCTAGCGCTGGCTGGTACAGAAAGCACTCTTTTTTTAAGTGCACTGACCTGCACTTCAGCTCCTTAAACAGTAAAATACCAAATGCCTGAAAGCAGGAACCCAAGTGAGAGAATGATGTCAGATGTCTGAGCCATGAGCCAGTAACAGCTCTGCCCCCTGGCTGGTAGGACACAAACCATACAGTACCGAGGACATGACCGCACAGCAGTAACCATGCCTCAATTCTGAGTGCTGGGATTACAATGGGATGGTCTTTCCAAAATCCTCCACTGGCAGGACAAGGATATGCATTTTAAGAAGTGTTGTGTCAATTCTGTGGTACATGGACTGGAGGCGGATGTGTGTGTTTATGGACGTTTAAGGGGAAATGTGATTCCTCTGCAACTTGCAGTTAGTAGAACCGGCCCTTCTCTTCCCTGACCAGAACACGGGAAGTACTCCTGCCCAAGTTCAAGCTAGAAAAGGACTACAACCTGGTGGAGGCCTTGCGGTCCCTGGGGGTCACAGCGCTGTTCGACAGGAACAGCAATATGACAGGGATCTCGGACCAGAGGATTGTCATCGACCTGGTAATGCCCGTCCTCTGCCCATCCCCATCCCGCCCCAGGTCTGCCCCCCTTGGAGTCCCTGCTGATACCAGAGAGAAGGCAGGTGCCCGGGAGCACCCCGGCCCAGCAGGCCTACTATGGCAGAGGCCCCAGAGCATGAGCAGGGGGTTCTAGGGCCACGGTCCTGCCCACAGAGTGCCGTGGGCAGCCCTGAGTGGCCATGGTGCACAGTGCAAAGGTGGCACCATTCACACCACACTCAGCTGATGTGTGAGGACCGAGTCCCAAGGGCCATCCTGCCCAGCCACGTCCATGCCTCCCCTGCGCTCGCTTAGTTCCTTCTCTGAAGAACACGAGACTACCCCCTCTTGCCCGTCTGTGAGTGACCACCACTAACTGACAGCTTCCCTTTTGTCCTGACGCAGTTCAAGCACCAAGGCACCATCATGGTGGACGAGGAGGGTACGCAGGCCGCGGCCGTGACCACTGTGGGGTTCATGCCATTGTCCACCCAGGTCCGCTTCAGCGTCGACCGGCCCTTCCTTTTCCTTGTGTATGAGCACCGCACGGGCTGCCTGCTCTTCCTGGGCCGGGTTGCCAACCCCACCAGGTCTTAGCGGTGGAGGCTGGGGCGTCTCGAGTGCTCTGGGGCATCCGCAATTCCATTTCCCTGCCAACAACGACCAGGAGGAGCTGCGGCAGTGACCCCGTGGCTCAGGCCATCTTTCTGGGAGGCATGGACGAAGGACCGCAATGCTTGCCACCATCAGGGCTGCACAGCCCAGAGGTCACCGCAGCTGCAGCGCAGCAGCTGTCTCCTAGAGGGTGTTGGCACCAGACAGACCAACTCCCTCCACCTCTCACAGCAAACCCCTCCCCGGGCCCAGCATCTCCCCTCCTCCACTCTGTCACCCAAAGCCTTTTCCCCCCAGGGCTTCCCACCTGACAGGGAACACAGGCAGGAGCTGCCCCCTCCCCAGAGTGCTGACAGCGAGCCCCCTCCCCAAGGCCCAGGGTGCCCTGGCCTCGGGCTCAGTCCTCTCAAGGCCCAACCTCCTGAATTGAGGCTAAATGTCTCTGCACCTGCTTTCACCTCACGGCCGCCCAGAGGACAGCATGTACCCGTAGCCATGCCTTCCACCCTAGAGATAAATAAATATCGCCACTTTTACTGGGTGTAATTCTACTTTTATAAAGTCAGATAACTAAAAAAGGCCACATTCAAAATAGCTGACACTCCAGCAGTACTAGGCATCGACAGAGTGACCTGAGTGCCCAACAGTGACCCAGAGCAAGCACGTCCTCGGGCTCGGATGTGGCAGTGCTGCTGCATACTGGGGGCGGGGGGGCGTGGATGGAGCTGCCTGGGGGCTCTAGAAACGCCAGTCTGTATGTACAGCACACGCTTCAGCTTCCATCCCCAGACACAGGGAGACCCTCAGACGTGCCTGTGTGCGTCTGGTTCGAGAAAACGGGCAACATCCAAGGACTGTATTTCTGGACCCTTGATTCCGGGGCAAGACCAGTGGAATCCACACAGGCTGCTCAGAAAGAAGAGCGCAAGGCCTCCGCAGTGTGGGGTGGGAGACAGCGCCCGGGGCTTCACAACTGCCACGCGTGTGGCCGTCAGACTGGGACCCCATGGGCCTGCAGTGGGCAGTGGGCTGGGGTCGAAGCCTGGTTGGCCTGACTCCACAGAGGGCTTCTGACCCAGCGAGACTGACACAGTCACAGGCAGCAAAGGGGTGCAAGAATGCTCCCCGATGTGGAAGCTGGGTTATCCCCATCCTCACACCAACCTGGGGCTTCCACTGTTACAGAGGGGGCGTGCTCAGCCACAGGCCTGAGTCCCACCCCGGCCCTGCTTTCACCCCTCACCCTCTCCCCCTGCCCCCTCCCCACTGCCTGAGCCAGGGCCCGTCCAGTGTCTGCCACCCAGGGCAGGGGGGCCTTTCCCTGTCATCCCTCTTGCCCTCTCAGGGAACCTGGGCTTGCTGACCACCCTCTCCAAGTCCTCCTCTATTCTGAGTCAACACTGTCCTCCCCTGGGCTTGTCTGACACTTCTGGTCTTGCTGGTTCCTCTGGCTCCTTCCCCACAACCCCATGTGCATCTCAAGACTCCACCTTCAGCCCTTCCCCACATCCCCCACCCAGAAGGCATGAAGACACGTGGTCCAGGCTCCTCTTCGACCCCCAAGGGTCAGAGAGCTCCAGCCCCTCAATCTGCTCAGAATGCCCTTGGGCCCCCTTCAGAAACGAGGTGCCTCCATGCGGCAGGTATGAACCCAGAGCACAGGCCTGCGCCAGGCTGCCTGGGTTCCACTCTCGGCTCTGGCACTTTGAGGCAAGTTCCGTGCCTCAGTCTCCTGTCTGTGAAATGGGGATAACACAGTCCCTATCTTGCAGGCTGTTGTGAGGATGAAGTGGGTTACTGTGTCGAAGGGGTTCAGGTCAGTGCCTGGGGTTACCACTTCCAGTCCAGGGGTCCCTAACTGGGGGCCTACCTGGGCCCCTCCCCCTTCCCTTCCTGAGGTGAAGTGCAAACACTTGAGGACAGACGCCATCTCTACGAGGAAGAGGGAGCAGCTTTCACACAGGTCTATGACTGAAAGTGTTAGTCCCCAAACATCCTTTTACAGGCACCAAGAGAATAACCTGTCCAAGGCCACACAAGCTGCAAGTGGCCCGGGTGCCCAGCCAAGTGGAGGGCACGGACATTTTCCGCGCTTTGTGACAGCGGGGCAACTATGTCTCCAGCTGTAGGTTCAAGCAATGGAATCAGTGACATTTCTGAAGAGCATCACAGAGTCACGGGACAAAGACCACCAAAAGCAGGAAGGAAGGCGCCTCGGAGGCCATGTGAGCTGGCACCCCCACCCCAGGCTCCCAAGATCACTGATAAGGGAACAGCTGCATTAGGGCAGAAACCCATGCTTCCTGCCCAGACCCACCGGCACGTCCACTCAACTAAGTCATTGAAGACACTGTGTCATCGAAAAATCCAAAACAGAGTATCTTTTTCTTTAAAATAAAAAAATTTTATAAAGTATAAAATGTTCAAGCAAACAAACAAAAAACCATGGAAGTTAGTTTCTCCCAGAAGGTCCAGGGTTAGGGTGAGGGCTAGAACCAGAGAGCAGAGGCAAGAACCATGGCATCTGGGCTCTGTGTTGAGCAACAGAATCAAATATTTGTTTCCTCCTCCACAATATAACCATTAACTTGTTGACACGACGATACCTATTCCGTTCATGTAAAGGTCACCGTACTGGAGGAGACACGGGTGTTTCAGGTGAGCATGTGCTAGCCTATCACTGCTAACATATCTACCTGCCCTGACGCGCCAGCCCTGCAGAAAGTCACCCCATCTTTTTGAGACACTCTGCTGGCAGAGCAGGTGTGGAGAGACTGGGACACTCTCCCAGGACCCCACATGCAGGGCCAGGAGTCCAACCCCGGCCCCAGTGACCCTAAAACTGGTGTGCCCCCCAACCAAACCTACAAGTCATCACTCCCCCCAAGTGCGAAGTGTCCCCTATAGACTTCTTCCGTGCATTTATTAAACTCCAACCAACCACCACCAAGCACACTTACAAGCTCACAGGCATACATACGGGTCAGAGAACTGTGGGGCTCAAATATCCCAGAACTCGTTACTTGAGAGGCCCCCCGGGCGTGATCCCTGTCTACCAAACCTGCTCTCCATGGAGCCCTCCACGGGCCAAGGACTTCATGCCCCTCGCCCTTTCCTCCAGGCCAACAAAGTGTCCTTGTGGCGCTTCTCAACGCACTGTGCACAAGTCGACGTCAACCATGACGTCTTTAGAAACCAACCTGTGCGTGCTGGTGTAAACCGTCAGGGTCCCAGCAACCCACAGGCCCTCGAGGGGCTGTGGGGGCCATGACCGCAGGGAGAGGTGGGAGGACTCTCGGGAAAAGTGGGAGGCATAAGGCAAGCCCAAGCTCCAACCCTGCAGCACGCGTGGGGAGAGATGCTGTCCTGGAGCCCGGCTGAGTCAGCCACCTTCGGGGTAGGGAGGAGGGGACAGGCAGAGGGTGGGGGTGGCCCGAGACGGAACCCCACCCCCCCACCCCGGACATAGTCCGCGACTATCAGTCTCACTATCAGAGCCAAGGACGATAAGCCAGTTAGCTGCTGGTTCCCATCTGCCTTGGCCGGCTGACACTGGACCCCCAACGGTCCCCAGACTCAAATGACAAATGCCCACAGAAGCAGGGACCGAAACTACTCTGCAGAGATAGGAGAGGACTCCCCAACCACCCACCAGGCCTCGACACCTCTGGGTCACCACACAGCCGGAGGTCAACCTCTCCACGTGCAGGGGCACCCACATAAATGCTCGAGGCTCGAACGAAGAGGGAGAACTGGAGGTGGAAGCAGGGGCTTAAGCAGAAGGCAGGCTAAGTGGGAGCTCGAGAATCACCAATGAAACAAAGCCAGACGTGGGCCTGGCTCAGGTCTGGCAGCTGGGAACGCCTGGGCCGGGAGAAGTGACATCCGTAAGGGCCATTTGGGAAGAAGTGGCCGCAGGCTGAGACAGGACAAGACGGACACCGGCCCTTGACTGCGGCAGTGCTGCGGCAGAGACAGGCCAGAGCCATCCCCGACAGGGCACCAAGGGCTGCAGCCCCAAGGCCCAGGCACCAACCAGAGGCCCCAGGCTCACTATGGGGGGTTGGGGGTTGGGGTGGGGGTTGGAAGCAGCACCTGCAGGCCACAGTCAGAGGCACCTGAAACCTAAGTCAGACCCCCACACCTGAGAAACGGGCAGTAGGGTCCTGGTCAGCTGGCCAGGGGTTTGGCCAAGCATGGAGAAACGGAGTGAGGCAGCGAGGCCACAGCAGGCACATGCCCACGGGGCAGTCGCGGAAGCTCCGAGACACAGCCACAGCTGCAGGATCCCTGCAGCCTCAGAACAGCACTTTTCAGGGAACTCGTTGCAGGTCTCTGGGCAGCACTCAGCACGAGCACCGCACCTGAGTCGGAGACACCAATGGGCGGGTACTCACCACAGCGATCACGGGGATGAGGACGCCCAGGTTCCCCGCGCTGCTGGAGGCCTGGAGGAGAACAGAACTGAGTCACTGATGAGCCCGCGCTTCTTTCATTGAAAAGGAAAAAAAAAAGACCTGACACAGTGTCATGAAAACTGAAATTCCTTAATCTACACGAAACAATGAAAAAGATATACAGAGAAACACGTATAAAGATGCATAATCTTAACAGCAAAAGAGGGAAACAATTTGAATGTCAAACAGGAGGATTACATAAACTGTGACAACTCTGCACAAATATCACAAGCTGTTACAGAGACTGTGCTCTGAAAAGGACTGTTACCCTAGAAAGTGCCCAGATCAAACGTTAAATGTAAGAAAGTATGTTCTCACCCAGTGCCAACTATGTAAAATAAATAGATTTGCATAAAACACCTAGGAGAAAGTCTGTCAAAAGGTTAACAACGATTGGATCTGAAGAGAGAAATTTTTACTCTACTATTTATAGGTTTCCGTTATCTTTTCTATAATGAATACACATTCTTTCCAAGTCTGGGAAAATTTGGGGGTTACTTAAAAATAACTAAGTAAAAAGTCAGC